GACAATTTCGTGAACAAATCAAACTCGACCAAGGACGGAATCTATTTGATATAGAAAATTAAATTAATATCCAACATTGTAAACCGATATTACCAAAAACAAACATTTTCCCATGTGGCGCCCAACTACGGTATCGGTTAGCGTTGCAGTTTAATACTAATTTAAGATAATCAGCATCGAGATTCCGTAATTTTTTTCGGAGCAATTTAAGACGCGATGATTGGGCTATTATAGTAGGAGCTGTTTTAGCTAAGTTATATGCTAATTCATATATTAATATCTCTTCGGGTTCAAGATTATCTTCATTTTCCTTAATATATTGAGCAAGCTTTTTAACTGGGTCCCGCCCTATAACACGTCTTCTGGAAGTCTGGATAGGAATTAAGGCATATGTTTGATCTTTGCTAAATCCTAATTTTTGGATTCTATTTCGAGCATGATCACGAGCTTTATAATCTTTTAAATCTTTACATATTTTTTCAGCATAATTACCAAGCTCAGCTATACTCATCTGAGGAGTTAAGTTATACTGATTCACGAAATTTGTTGCAACTTTGGACATTGTTGATTGGGATATTTGTGCGGACTATAACTATGGAAAATATTTTTTCAATTCGAAATTAATTATCCTGAGTCGGTATATATTCCCAAAAATTGAATGGGTTACGGTTAATGTAATTATACCGGAAAATGAATGCAAATAAGACACAAGATCAATCAAAAGTCTTGGAATCTGTAGCCCCTTTTTCCTCTTTGTCTCTCGGAAAAAAGATATACACGTATCAGTACATGCTGTCTACCTTTTTCTGGCTTCGAGCAGTTACTGCGAGAAGGCGGGAGGTCCTGGAAAAAATAATCGATATATGTCAAGCATATGATTGTACTTCATGTCTAGAATCGTGTAAGTCGGGTATATGATTCTTAAACATGGTAATTTGTGCACATAATTTATCCTGCTTTTTTCTGCGATAATTCTCTTTACTTTTATATTTGCCTACATGTTTATTGCATGCGTTATATTTAGACCCATTTGACTCACCACAATCCTGTCTTCTCGCATATATGCTCGAAGTCAGAGAAAAAATCACATAACTCCGTTCTCATGATTATATTTTGCAAGTAATTCAGCCTGCCTTTTTTTATGATAGTTCGATTTGTTGCGATATTTTCCAGCATGTTTAACACACATACCATATTTAGAGGCAGTTGGTATACCACACTCTTTACAAGGATTACGTAATCGCATTTTCCAATGAAGAGCACAATCCCTTGTGGATAACAATCTTTTCCACAAATTCGTCCATCAATATAAATATGTGGACAAGAATAGAATGCCATTACTAATAGCGATAACTTTCAAATTTTGCATATATGAAATAATTATTTTTCGAATTAAACTTTTTATGTCGCTTTTATTATAAGTTGATAAATCAACGTATTATATACTTTTTGTCAAATCAAACAACGCATATATACAAATCAATAAAATGAGTTTGTCT